GTACCAATATAAACATTTATAAACATTTCTCAAATATATACACGTTAAAAAACAATAAATTTTATTTTAAAAAAATACAATAGAGTATAAGATATATTTTTAAAATTAAGATCGTTATAGGACAAACTCGCATATGTAAACTTAAACTCTTCCTCATATCTAATTAATAAAAATTATTATTTGATTTATATTACTATTTTAAATAATTTTATATTAATGTATTAAGAGAAAATTAATACATTTATCATTTATTATTTAAGTTTTAATTAATTATTCTAATAATTATTTGATTTTATAAAATTGAGATTTTTTAATATCATTTTTAAGAATAAGTTGAATTTTCAAAAAATATATATATATATCATTAATTTGATGAGAAATAAAAAGGGAAAATCGAAAATTGAAACGGCTACTTGTGAAATAATAAATAAATAAATAACAACTGGAGTGAGAGAGTTAATTATTTATTATAACGAATTAAAAACTCGGGTCTTAATGAATCTTCTACGAATATTATTTTTTTTTTAGTTAAAATATTTATGACGGGTTAAAAAATCAACCTAATTCTTTTATTTAAAGAAAAAAGTAAAAAAAAAAAAAAACCCAAATCTGAATATAAGAGAAGACGTTGTAGTAGGTGTTTCCCAGAACAGAGTAATCATAAGAGAGAATCTAACATGGCCAGAACAGCAATAGGGTGCGAAGCAGTGGTAGGATCACTTACTCCATCAAAGAAGAGAGAATACAGATTCACCAATCGACTCCAAGAAGGCAAGCGTCCCCTCTACGCTGTCGTTTTTAACTTCATGGACTATCGCTACTTCAATGTCTTTGCCACCGTTGGGGGCAATCGGGTATCCTCTTCCCTCACTATGCTCATTCCTAGCTTCCCGTTTGTTTCTTGGAAAACCTCTTGATTCTCTATTCTTTGGGTTTGTTTGAATGCCAAATTTGATGGCACAATATAGTGGTTTTCGTGCTTTCTTTACATTAATCATTAAGGGTTATCAAGCTGCTTCTGGTTGTGTAAATGAAGCCTCTTGGGTTGCTTAAATGGAGGATATGCTAATAAATTATTCTTATTGATTTTAGGTTTTGTGATTTATCTATGTAAAAGATACTGTTTTGTCTGAGCCATTTACTTGTTTTGCGTTTTGAGCTTATGCTCGGGTGAGAGAGAAGATGATTTAGAATTTCTGTTCCTGGACTTGCGAGATAAACAAATTTTATTAGTTTCTATTCAAGCTAGTTCAAACCTCAAAAGGATTCTGCTGAAAAGTTGTCTCTTTCACCTGTATATGTTGTATATGTTTTGAGAACACTGAAGTTCTATAGAGAAATTATTTATTGTTGCCTGTGAAGTTTTTATTTTTGTTTCCTTTATCAGGTAACGGTTTACCAATGTCTCGAAGGGGGTGTTATAACTGTCTTGCAGTCTTATGTAGATGAAGATGTAAGGACAAGATAATCAGTTTCATTCTCTCTCTGTGGAATGTTTTTACTAATTGTAGTTTTTTTGCGTCAAACCAATGAGCTTTCTTAAAGAACCTTTGGGGTGTCCATGTGCTTTTTAGATCAGAAGGATGAGTCTTTTTACACTGTAACCTGGGCATGCAACATTGATGGGTCCCCATTTCTTGTGGCTGGAGGCATCAATGGCATAATTCGAGTTATTGATGCCAGCGCTGAGAGGGTACACAGGGTATATTTGCTCAATTATACCTTTAATTTTTATTTAGACGGATTCACAAGTTGTTTCCTTTCCATCGGATCACATGCTCATGTATGTGCAGAGTTTTGTTGGCCATGGAGATTCAATAAATGAAATCAGGAGTCAGCCACTGAAAGCATCACTTGTGGTGTCAGCAAGCAAAGTAAGTGTCATGATTTGTCTTTTGTAATTTTTGTTTGATTAGATCATGAAAAATTTGTTCATTTTTTGAAATTTTTGCTCGATTAAGACAATAAAATTTGTTAAGAATGAACCAGGATGAATCAATTAGGCTATGGAACGTCCACTCTGGGATTTGCATTTTGATATTTGCTGGAGCAGGGGGTCACCGCAATGAAGTTTTAAGTGTGGTAACTGCAGACAACGTTATGAACTCCGATTTAGTTTCAGCTTAGCATCTTTTGTGCATTAAGTAACATTGTGGTGCTTTTGTAGGATTTCCATCCTTCAGACATATATCGGGTTGCTAGTTGTGGTATGGATAACACTGTCAAGATTTGGTCAATGAAAGGTAGGACTCTGAGACCCTGTACCTATTTGGTTTTCTTGTTAAATCCTTTGATACACTTGGCTTGCTTGATGAGGAAATCATTTTGCCATCAATTTTGCTACAGAGTTCTGGACATATGTGGAGAAATCATTCACGTGGTCTGATATTCCATCAAAATTCCCCACAAAATATGTACAATTCCCTGTGAGTAGCTACTTATTTTCCTTGTCTTTAAACATAAGGGACAACTGGTTGTGGGTCATTGTTTCTAAGATTAGTGATTTTCAGATATTTATAGCTTCAGTTCATTCAAACTATGTGGACTGTAACCGGTGGCTTGGTGATTTTATTCTCTCAAAGGTATTTCACTGCTTTAGTCTATTAATTTTTTTTTTTTAGATAATTTAGTCGATTAATATTTAATACGTACTCTTGCCTTGACCCAAGGTTCTTTAAGTTAAATGCTTATTTTCTTTCGATCACTTTACTCAAACAATTTATTTTAGAACCAAAATTTGATGTACTGCTTATGGGAAACAGAACAAAGCAAATTTGTCTTTGGATTAAGATAATGAGCACAATGGATAACAATTATGCCTGCTTAAAATTAATAGAAACATTGTTAATGCCATTCTTAGTGGTAGCTTATGATTTATCGATGTTCTGATCAGACAACCTAAATGTACACGATTTTCTCTGATTCTGGAAATCCGTACTGTATGTATGCTCACAGGCAGTTTTGTTGCAAAATTGCAGAGTGTTGATAATGAAATTGTGCTGTGGGAACCAAAAATGAAAGAACAGTGTCCTGGGGAGGTTAGAGCTTCCTAATTTCTGTGTCATAAGTTGTATCTGTAACCAGACAAGAAAAATAGAATTTATTTTTTTGCATATCTTGTAACGAGCCGATTTCTTTTTCATTCTCCTTTTTTGGCTGGTGTTCCACCATGCATGACGCACACTTGCCATATGCCAAAATCCACACCAAAGAGCTCAGTAAGAAGCAATTGCTTATTGAGCCAGGAATGCTCTTTCATTCTTTGGTTTTGGAGTTTAGTATTTATTCTTTCTACCTGTTGCTTCCTCATTTAACTTTTTTTTTTATTAGGGTACTGCTGACATTCTGCAAAAATACCCTGTTCCGGAATGTGATATTTGGTTTATCAAATTTTCCTGTGACTTCCATTATAATTCAGCTGCTATAGGTATCTCAACAAAAACTAGGACTTATCTGCATGGTTTTTCATATTATAATCAACTTTATATACTGTCAACAAGTTTGGAAGTTATTGACTATGCTGATTTGTGTTCCAGGAAATAGAGAAGGGAAAATATATGTCTGGGAACTACAAACTAGCCCCCCTGTTCTTACTGCAAAGTTGGTTCCACTTTTTTCTTATTATGTCAACCGCCGTTTAGCCTTATTTGTTTGAGCTTATCAAAATACTTGCAGTATCTAGAAATTTCTCCATTACAGTGACCTTCACCTTGTTTCTCTCTCAGGTTGTCTCATCCTCAGTCAAAATCTCCTATTAGGCAGACTGCCATGTCCTTTGACGGAAGGTAACTCCTCTGTAAACTGTTGTATTTACTGTCTCGCATCTATTATCTACTTGACGGTAAAACAGGAAATCCTTTGAACTTACCATATGTTTTGCTTGTCGTAGTACCATTCTTAGCTGCTGCGAGGACGGGACAATATGGCGCTGGGATGCAGTAGCGACAGAAACCTAATTTCATGATAGCATGTTGAGTAAAAGAGCTTTATTTAATTTCATGGGGATTCTATTGGAGAGTAATACCAGTTAAATTTTGTTGCCCTTGTATTTATTTTAAGAGATGAATCCATTTTATCATCTTTGTCAAATCGGCAGTGCAGTAACCACGTTGCAACAGATATTACAAGGAAAAGAAAAACACATTTGTCTCGTTGCTCTCAGCACCATCTTGCTAAGACAGATATTCAGTAGTGTTGAGAAGTGGATATTTTTCTCCAAGTTCTTTGGCTAGGGTACAGATGGTCTACCAGAAATGGTATGCTGCTATGCAAATAACCTCTTCCAAGTGAATGCATTATGAGTTACGCCAGGGTTGCAGCGTACAAAACATTCTCTTTCTTCTTAAGAAATATTGAAATCTGTATAGGAAAATTCTCTTTTACAATACAAAATTTCCAACTAAACATCAATGATTCTCAGTTTCGCCTGGATGGGTGGATACGCTCAACATGCTTTCTATATAATTACTATATACAGAAAAGAATCAACAGATAAAACTATATGATTGGGAATCATTCTTTATCCCAAGGTTGTACAGGAGTATTAGCAAGAAAAACATCATTGAATCCGAGACCTTAACTGCATCAATAGATTCTGCATACTCTCAAGTTTCTGGCTGATCTGTTTGATACTATCAACATGCTCTATTGAAGCTTCAGAAGTAGCCAAGTCAGAGATAAGGGCATCACATTTGGTCTGCGTATCTGACACAGTCTCCTCAAGTAAAATCACAGTTGATTCCAATTTTGTTCTTGGGGCTTCATTGATCAGATTTGCTGATGGTGAGAACCCAAAGCTGGCAGGACTACCGCTCTTGGTAGGTTTTGGGGAGAAAATCTTGTCAAAGCTCTCAGTCCCTGCAAGTCACCAATTTATTAATTCCAAATCTGAACTTGGAAGTGATAAACCACTAATTCATTGTAAATTTGAAAGAGCTTTTCAAATTAATCATACCAAGGTTGTTAAGTTGGTATAGAGCTGCCTGGCCAATTGAATGTTCTAGCTTGAGGATCCGTAACACCCCAGCAGCCACCCGACCCATTGAATCAACTTCTGACTTGCACAAAAGAGCAAGGTGTTGTAGCTCGTCCTTTGTCACAGCAGCCTCAATCTACCCCAAAGAAGCACCATTTAAACATGTTTTAAAAAAACTAAAGTAAAACAAAAAAAAAGGACAGGGCATCAATACTTGGGAAGTTCAGCGATATACTTACAGGCTGTTTAACAGATAATTTCACATTTTCTACCACCCAGTTCACCATATCTTCATTAGCATCGTCCGCTGATGTCACTATATGAGCTTCCACATTGATCCCTCCGGTCATTTCAAGACTTCCTTTCACTCCATTTGCAGGAAGAACTGGCTGAAGATTGGTGCCTTTTCGGGCCTGAGGCTTCAAGGTCTGCAAGCCTTCCACACAAACCTACAAGAATTCCCAAGTGAAAAAGACAATTAATGAAACTGGAGACATGAGAACAACCAAATCTGACCCGAAGTTTAAATTCTTGAATGGGCATAACAAGTATGATAACCATACAATACAAGATTTAAATCAAAAAGCAGTTTCCTCACCCAAGTTTCAACCTTCTCCTGCCACACTTAATTAGACAAGAAAGAAATGCAAATCAAACCTCAATAATATGTTTGATTCCTTTACCTCTGCCTTAAACAAGTTGGAACGCCAAATTGACATGAGCTAACATTTAGGAAGGTAAAAGGTACTACTACCTAATAATGTCTTGAAGGGTATAACTACCTAATGATGCCTTCCCTTCCTTTATACGATATATCAAGTATACCAATAACATCCTTCAGAATTATAACATACTAGGTTTGATATAGGTAATATCAGTTATACTGCTGCCACCCTAAAAATAAGAACAAAAACTAGGTTTAATATAGGTAATAACAGTTATACTGCTGCCATCATAAAAATAATAACAAAAACTAGGTTTTATTGATTCTTACCGTGATGGATTCCACTGGGTATCTTGGCATAGCATGTAATCCTCCTTTACCATTCAGAGCATCCTTTGGATTACTTTTTGCCTTTACCTGCAAACTCCTGAAAGTTGTGTGCCAGCATCTCTCTTCTCTGTCCATATTTTCATGATCATGAAACCACCATCTTTCAGCCATTTCTTGCCTCCCTTCAAGAGCAAATAACCAATCTTTCAATTCTATAGATACATCCACATCATCAGGCTTTCCCAATTGTGAAAAACCAATGTCTTGCCCGACTCCTGAATTTCCACCTGGATGGAAATTTAAGAGAAATATAGAGTCAATACTTAGTGCAGAAGAAAGGCAACAAACAGCGTCACAAATAAAACATAAAAAGCAATCATGCAAAATTCCAAAAAGACTTCACTCCGTACCCTCTGCTAAGTCATCAACAATGGATGTCTTGAAAAGTTTTGACAGAGGTCCGGCTGATAAATTCTCCAAGCCTTTAGATAGTCCTTTCCCAGGACCGCCATCAGGCCCAAGTATCCCAAAACGATGCAGTAGGGCTTCGGCATAGTTCATTCCTCCACCTAAACAAATACCTGAAATACAAGCTGAAATGCTTAAACTATGACATTCTCTATCCCGTTCACTTAAGGGAATAACATGCACCGTGCTTATGTCCAGAAATGGAGTAACAAAAACACTGCCATTTGTTTGATGCTTCCTTTGGTTGTGAACCCAAAAGACAGGCCTCAGTTGAGTATATCCATTCCCAATCACCAGAGCACCATTGTCTCCTGAATTTAAAATTGAGCCATTCTCATGTGCAAGATTTTTCTCAGTCTCTACACAATCCACCTCAACACTCTCCCAACACAAAGTGAAGGATACAGCAACAGCGCCACCGAGGGTTCTATGAGTAACCTTCACATAGAGATCTTTACCATTAAACTGAACAAGAGGCATCTCCTGAATGTTCAAAGATGAAGATTCAAGAAACCTAAGCTGAAGGTCCTTCATATCTAAACTTACAGCAGTATCACCAGGAACCTTTTCCATGAACTGTCCACCCAAAGAATCATTCCTAATGGTCTTCGGTACTCTAGTTTTTCCAACTAGAGCAATCTTCTCACTGACTCTACCAAAGTACGCATAAATATCCAGGACAAAAAATAACTGCTCAACTGAAGTGTTGGACAAATACTGTCGACAAGCAATCCCTATTCTTACAACACCACCAGGGGGAGGAACGACTGTTAGTGGACTCCCATCAGCAGAGACCATAGCTACTTCAACAGAGAGGCCTTCCATTTCAACGCATCTCCATAAGCCTGATGTCCAACCTGAAGTATTCTGAAGTTCAATTAAGCTCGTGGATGTTTCTAAGGACAAAATAAAGTTTGATGCTCCAGCAGTCCATTTCCTCTGGCTAGCATCAATTGGTTGACCTTCCCAAAGAGAGAAGCAAGCAGGATCTTTCTCAAGATTTAGAGACCTGAGTTTTAGTAAAGGTGACTCAGTGAAGAACAACTTTTCAATATGAAGACTAGCTCCAGCAAATGAGTTCTGTGAATTAAGGTTCCCTTTGCTGGAACAATTATCTAGTCTACTCATGTCCAATGGGACAATGACATCGAGTTCCTTGAGAACAAATACAAAGGAATTAACTGAAGAATCTGACAAAATGGAACCAGGATTTACAACTATTCCATCAGCTAAGAAAGAAGATATCCTCAAGCATGATTCTTCCTGCAGATGAATCTGAGCAAGGAATAGCAAAAATAAACTTAAAAAGTGATACAGTTGGTCGAAATAATTGAATAATATAATCTTCTGAAATAATTGAAGCTTACCATAAGAGGCTGGCAGCGAATAACAGTTTTTGATGCAAAATATGGAGGATCAGGGGAAGGCTTTAGCTGAAGAGAGTAGAGACATATTAAGGGAACACCCTCAATTGAGTGGTTTTGAAGGTTTCCTAGGGGATATATTGGAGGACAAAAATTCTGGCCTATTCACAGAATTAGAAAGATAGCAGTCAACTATAAGGGATATACACCAAATTGCCAAATCCCAATTAAGATACATCCACACAAGGACTTTTAATTTTAATAATAAGAATTAATTGAACTTGTACCAAAGTCAGGAATGACCAGAAGATCCTCTGTGACAGCATGGACCGATGGTTGCACTAAGGTGCATGGAGGATGCGAAAAGGTATTCCTGCATTCCAGTGGTCCACGTACTAAATAAATGACAGGTATATGGTAATAAAAGCGGCAATCATGTTTCTCTCTTGTTTCAGAAAAGAATGAGAATAGGTAAAAAGGAAACCCCAATTAGTGAAATTCCATAGTTAAGAAAACCTAATGTACTTCCTACAAATAGAACAGAATACTAAGTTTAACATGAACTTAAAAGTTTTGAGCTACAATCATAATGAGCCATGCATCAACATCTCCTTAGAAACAAAGTTCACTTCTTTGTGATAGTTGCCAATTGACAAGTCTTCCTGGTTAAAAGGGAAAATATTATAAACAGGGAAAAGTAATTTCTATAGAGAGTTTGCGAAGAAGTTATGTGGTGCTTGGACAAAAGATAGAAGTACTAAGAGAATAATTGCTCCAACCTTCAAATGTTCAAATCAAACAAATTATACATGCACCAGTATGAAAGTTCTATAGGTATAATACACGGGTATATCAAGAATATCCCTGCCATATGACAAACATCCCCCCCCCACCACCCAAAAAGAAGTGGGGGAAGCATGGAAAGTTTTAAAAAGACAAAACACAAAAACAAATTGTAGCACTTATACCATGACATTAGAAAGATTCCCAAAGTTTTCAAAACACATTTTAACTTAACCACCATCTGGAAATCTTAAAGAGATCAATATATTTGATAGCTTTGTTGCCAAAATTTCTGAATTTTAAATTTTAAATAGCATGTTTTAGAGTTGCAAGGTAGAAGACCAAGTTTTTAGAGTTGGATTTATTAAGCATACTAAGTTCTTTGGCTGAAGTTGGATTCATTTCTGTATTTTTTTTTGTTCTTGGACAAGATTTTATCCTCCGGTTTTCATGCTAATTATCTTTCTAACAAATCCTCTTTTCGTACTTAAAAAAAATGAAAACTCTCTTTTCCATAAAAGATAACAGATTAGTATAGAATCAGCTACTTGAAATTATGAAAGACAAATAAATAAGGTTTATGAATACACCAGCGCATACTCCATGAAAAGAGCAATTCACCTTAAAAACAGCCCCCCGACCATAACTTTGGTCAAGTATTTCGCATTTTCTCCATCGGAAACACAGGCCTATTAGAACAAGATGCATTAGGATGAGAGTCTAATTGCTAAGAGTAACATGATAGTATACATAAATGCAGACAACATGATATTGTAAGAGTGGAAAAAAAATCTAGAGCTTCAAAGAGAAAAGAATGCAAGCAGCAGAGTAGACTATTTATTGCAAATAAACTGAATAATGGGATTAGAACTCTCCATATAACAGAAAATTGTTGTATAAGAATTAAACTGAGGAGACTGAATCATCTCTGAAAGATCTGATGCATTAAGACTACTGATAGTTCTCCTCATATAGGTTTACATATCTTATCACACTTTGCGAACTACAACAATGAAAGTTCATGTTCCTCTATATATTATGTTGATTAGATTTTCATGAACCTGGGATATTGATAGCTGCTGATGAATACAC